TACCCAAAGTTGGATTATCCATGTGGCAGTATTTGATGTACCGGTGGGCAGTAATATCATCTAAAGTGACTTTCCCCTTTATCAAAACTGTCTATATATTTTAGTTGTGTTTCTCAGCATAAAATAGAATTACCGCCGTTCTGAGAATTATTTGGACAGTCACCTTGGAATTTGCAAAACACTTTGGTTTTTTCCAATCTAGACCTGCATGATGACGCTGTTGTATTGGCACGCCCACAGTTGGGATCAGTCCATTATCTTGCTAGATGCTAGTAAAACACTGTTTTTTCGTAACGTCATGGGTTGGTTACCATACCTTAACAGGTTATATGTTGTATATGCATTCAAAGTGTTATTTTAAATTGTTATAACAATCTGAGTCCACCTGACATAACGCATTTTACAAAACAACTCCCGAGTGTTAAGTAACCCTAGGTATTAATGAACTCGTTGGTGAGAAGGCTCAAAGTAAATTTTGGATGCATTGCAGTTTTGCGACAGTTTTCGGCCAAACTAAAAAGTTGTTTTTGAAAGATACTGATTTTAATAGTATCAATATTTGCTAATCACATTCTGCTATCTAATTTGGGAAACCATCACCCTGTGTTTGATGTAGGTGCCATGGCAACATATACAATGCATGTAACTTAAATTTTCACATGAGATGCAAAGACCACCACCCTTTAACCATAGGTCAAAGTTCAAATCATAATATTGTGTTGATTTGTACAATGCTGTATCAGTAATACAATTTGCGATATGAATAGAGAAAATATATATTTACAAAACTGGAATTTTGTAAAATTACTCATAGAAATGCAGTAATTCAAAATATATTTAATTCTTTGTTGATTTGATGTAACAGTCTTGATGATTTTTGTGATGTTTATTTTCTTATATAAATTAAACTCAAGCAATGATATTATTTTAAGCATATTGTTTATTCATCAAAAATACATTTTATTCTGTCCATAATTTCACCATGGTTACAAATATTTAATAAATTAGTATAATTAAAACTTTGCATATTATCTCACTATTGCTTATAAAATTAACATCATTCGAACCATCTTAAAATTCCACTTATTAGTCATAAACACACAATAAAAACACCAATAAAAGTGGAAATTAGTTTCCATTGCCATGTAGTAAAGATGAATTACACCATTTGATAAACTTTAAATTATTCAACAATAAAAAAAACCCATAATATTCAACACAATTGACAATTTAATAACAAATAACAATTTTAATTTATACTAAAATCAAAACATCACAATATTATAATCAAATTATCATACTACCTAACATCTTGTTGCAGGATTTAAACAAAATAATTTCTATTACCTTATCTTGTTTATTTAAATATTATTATTGTTTAAACTTTTATTGTCATTATCATTATATATATTTCTGATAAATTCGAAATGTTAAATTTCCTGAGCAGTTGGAATAAAGTATTTTATCTTTTATATATTGAACCGGTGGTGCATAGTGGTTGTCGCATCAGACTCAGATCAGTAGACCCAAGTTCAAATCTCACCTTAGGCTGAACATCAAAAGGGTCGGCCTCTACTCTGGGTGAGTGTGCCACAGACTCAATGGGAAGGCAAATTCCACTGGCCGAATTTCATTCACTAACGAATGCTACTTTGGGGGAACCTTGGTTAAGGTCCGCAGGTGGTCGTCTTCGACTGAGTCTGGTTGACGCCAGAATAGTGCATTGATAGGGAGATGGCCACACGGCCCTGTCATGTAGTCCCAAACATGAATATGACTACTGTGGCAAAATGCACCATGTGTCAGCACAAGCACTTACAAAAACAAGTCAGGAGAGACAACAGTGACACTCAATGTCGCCTCAACTGTCGCCTGGCACAAAACATTTTTTTAAATAAAAAATTTGTTTTTTTTATATATCCTACTTATATATGTTTCTTTGTGTTCCTTCACACTGACTGACTAACTTACAGTCATATAACAAGTGTTGTAAGAGACATTGACAGTCTAAACTGATTTTGTGTACCATATTCAACAGTATACTTTGTTAAACACAATAGATGCAGATTGGTTCCAGCATTGAGCCAAAAAGATTTGCTCCATGTTTATACATATGTACCTTATGTATATTATTATGACATTTCACATTACCAAGAATTAATATATGGTGTCAATGTGTGCTTTATCCAGTGCTACCATATTTCCTCTTGTAAAAGTTGTAGGTGTGAATGAAATTAACTTAACGCCGACACAGACCACGATAATAACTGGACAGTACTTTAATCCACTTTTATCTGCTCAGATAAGTCTATGGTCAAAATAAGTCATATTTTAATGATCTTTTTCTGATCCTAGAAAATGCTTTAAAATATTGCTGTTTTAGCTAAAAAAAATATGATATATTAAAAGTAGATATCATGTTCTCACTTTCCTGCTGATTTCATTTTGTAAGTACTGGAAGTTCTTATCAATGTAACTGACATTCAAGACCTAGGCCTCCTATTACTATTATTATTATATTTTATTATTATTAATATAAAGAACTCTTTTGTGATGAGGATATTGGACTAGGTAGCTCTATGATTTGAAATGCACACTGTGAAATCAATTACATCCATGTACAGTATCAAAGTCAATAATTACAGAAAACAAGATATAAACAAGCAGCCTATGAACAATATGTATAGTATCAAAGCAATTGGACTTGCTGTTTTTAACAAGAAGTCGAAAATATCACTTTTTACCAAAAATAACAAAAAATATTCATCAAAATCTAAGAGAGGTCTGCCTAAGGTACATATACACCAATTATCAAAGCAATAAGAATTGTAGTTTTCAAGAAGAAGTTAAAAATGTAAAAAGTTGACACAGACGACGACAGACGACGATGGACAATCACTCATATGATAAGCTTCGCTTGACAAAGTCGACAGCGGCGCTAAAAAGGGATAAATTTGATTGCATATAATTAATATGTACAGATTTTAACCTAGAACTAATCAGGTCTGTGGAGTTGAACAGTTTTTGAGATATTAATGGAAAGGCTTAAAAATGATTAATTATTATGGAAATTAGATACTACCGGTAGTAATTAATATTATATGATTTCTACTAAAAACTGTGCATTACCTCGAAACACCTATGTACCACGCTCATCAAAATCTGATGATTGGTTCTTGAGTATCAGTGGAATGAACATAGACATACAGACAGGGTATCCTATTTGTATGTGTTTACATACATGTATACCGGTAAGTGTCAAAAAGTAAATAACTTATATCACAGTTGATCCATTGTTATACAACGAGCATCTCGGGGAGTGGTTGCTGGTCAATGAATCGCTGAAAACCAAATCTTGACAAATCAATTGTCTTGTAGCTCTGTTCAAGTAACAGTTCACTCATAGCTCGGCCTATGGCCGGTGCCTGTTGAATTCCATGACCAGAAAATCCATTTGCAAAGAAAAAATTTGAAATGACTGGATGTCCCCCGATGATAGCATTTTGATCTACAGTGTTGTAGTCATAGAAACCAGCCCACGCACATTTTAACTGTAAAAAAATTGAGATTTTTGAAAATGATTACAGCTGAAAAAATAACATATTTTGACATTTTTAATTTCTCTATCTAGTTTTCCAATACAATTTTGAATTAGAACACGTTTGATTGAATATCGCTTGCTCTGAATGTGTTGATTTATTAATAGTAGACAAGGTAGCTATATAAACCTCATACAAAATATGAAATGTTCAACAATTGATGTTTTCCAAGTTCTATTCTACCATGTTAGGACGCTGCAAATGCGCCATTTGTGCTAATCGTACTGTTTGAAGTTCGCATACGGTGGGGTCAAAAATCAATTTTGCACAGAAATATCAAAATTAAAAGGCTATTCTGCAAGCACTTATTAATACATTATTTGAAAATGTAAACTATCAAAAGGAGATGGATTTCCCATCTAAAGAAACAGTATAGTATTAACGGGCATTGATATTGCAGTCAAAGTTAAAACAATAAATGTTGCCGCTCTTCAATGATGATTTTTACGAGGATGCCAGAGTGTTTTGTGTTTTGATTATTTGATTGGTGGAAATATAGGAAAGTAACAGCCTTTACATTAGGCAAAACGATACTTGTTGAACTATCTATTGGTCTTTGAGTAGGTACAACAATTTATATGCAATGACAAGAAAACAATTGTGTTACTATAAAACGGTACTGTAAATGGATTAATTTTTACTGGATTTTAATTGCGCTATTTTCCCTAATAAGTAAAATCCGCTAAATTAAATCTACGTGAACATGTTAAAAAACAATAAAACTCATTGTTTCCTTGACAAATTTGTGAAATTAAAACACAGTGAACATGCTCAAAATATCAAAATAGTGAAATTAAATGTCAATGAAAATAACTACTTTTACAGTAATTCCTATTTTTGAGAAAACTATGACAACAAGATTACAAGCACTGTTATGCTGGACTGTGGTGATGCAACTTTCCGCTTGTTAGCTGTGAGAAATAATCTCAAACTGATTTGACAGATAACAAATAAATTAAAAATAATTGAATTAATTAGAAAATAGGAATATAAAATTTATTTTGAATTATTTCTTGACTAAGTATTTGATTATGAACTTTCAGTATGGAATGATACAGATTTGTTAAATACATTTCTCTATATTGCATCTCGTATATTCTGATAGACCATACAGTGACCCCACTGTGTGCGCCTACAGTGGAAATGGAATAAACATTCTTCTTTACAAAGAACTCATAAATCGTCAATTGGACTAAGTGTGAAGACTAGGTCAATACATTCAAAATTACATGCATGTTTGTGATCTGATGCAAGATGGCAGCCATTTTAGTGCTATAAATCTGCCATTACAAAACTTGATCTTGGTTGTGCATGGACAGACTTCTTCAAACATGGCGGCCATTTTGTTCTAATGAATTACTGTAAAATACTTTATTTTAGCTGGAATTAATTTCACTGAAAAGACTTTTTGATTGTTTTGTATGGAATTTATTTTCACAGATTTTTGAAAAGTTGAATGTAAAATATAGAAAAAAGGTATATTGCTGGATTTTATTTTCACTGAATCATTCCTTCAGCGAAAATAGCGAAAATTAAGTATTTTACAGTATAGCTCTGAAACATTTTACTACAAGCAGTAAAAAAAAAAGACACATAATAATATGCTTTCATTAATTGAGGTATTCTCATGATAGCTCAAATTATTCATAACTAAAAAAAGTGGGCTTTAAAATGAGCTGGTAATTTGAGTACTAAAATATACATGCAATGACACCACTCAATTCAACAGTTAATCTGAAAACATCTCACCTTAAGATTCTCAAACGCTTGTACACGCTTTGATAACAATGGCCATAACCGATCTTCAAACCAGTCATAATCAACATTCAGATTATTAACGCTCGGTTCTTCTTCCTGATATTGGAAACACACTCATGAAGTAATATTTGTGTTTGTTGGTCAGATGTAAGGAGGAACTTTATTAACTTTAGCCATGGACCAAATTCAATAGTTACTGGATTGATGGGTCATCTGTCTTAGATCATGTCTGATGGAATTTTCCACACAACGACTGCAGTTGTAGTTTTATCCAGACAACCTAAATTTGCATCATGTATTGATTCTGCTCCAAGTGGTTGCTAATAACAACTAACCTGGGAAGTATGTCATGAATTTTGAGGGGGACATTGGAAAAGAGAGGTGGGGGGGGGGGGGTAATTCTATAGTATGGTGATCTTTAAATCAACATTCGAAAAATCACACATAAGCGATATGCTAAAATCAAAGAAAGCTTAGAAAGAACTCCCATGTGCTGAGAGTATTGGAGACACATTAAAAATAATTACTTGTACTTGATTGAGATAGTGATGGAAAAGCTGAAAACTAATAATGCAAATCAGAAAATTAATATGAACAGATTTGAATGTAAAATTAATGAGGTCTGCGCAATGTAACAGACCATCTATGTACCAAGTTTTATTGAAATGTGATTGGAACCAAAAAAAATTATGAATTATTATGCTAATTAGGGAATTAATATAAACAGATTTTAATCCCAAACTAATCAGGTCTGTCTATTGTCCTACAGCATCCATGTAAAAAGTTTCATTGAAATGCGATGATTAGTACTTGAGAAATCAGTGTGAAAGCTGAAAATTAATTAATTATGCAAATTGGGTAATTAATATGCACAATTATTTACCCTACAACTAATCAGGTCTCTTGGATAGTCCTAAAGGATCTATGTACCAAGTTTCATTGAAATGTAATACTTACTACTTGAAACATCAAAAGCTGAAAATGAATTAATTATGCAAATTAGGTAATTAATATGCACTGATATTACCCTAAAAACTATCAGGTCTGTGCAGTGTCCTATGACATCTATGTACCAAGTTTCATCGAAATGTGATGATTAGTACTTGGGATATCAGTGGAAAAAACGAAAATTGTCTAATCATTATGCAAATTAGGTAATTAGTGATTAGGTAATTTTTACCAAAAACTGATCAAAACCTAGCATTAGTTTAGAGCATCTATGCACCAAGTTTCATCGAAATCCAATGAGTGGTTCTTTAGATATCAGTGGAACAGTCATGGAAGAGCTCATTGGCCCAGAGCATCTATGCACCAAGTTACATTAAAAACTGATGTACAGTTCTTGAGATATCAGTGGAACAGACGGACACACATACACACATACACACATACACACACACACACACATACATACACATACACACATACACACATACCCATACAGACACACTAACTGCAAAGACTCCCATTTTGTGCTTCGCACATGGGAGTAAAAAATGTCACGATCACAATCAGATTTTGTTCATTTTTAGATTTTGATTGTTGGTTGAAAAGAGACAGTATAAAGAACTATTTACTGACCTCAGAAGGTGATAAGCCACATATAAAGTTTCCACCAAGTCCTTCCCTTCTGAAATACGCTCCAGTTGGGTCAACAACAAGTGGACAATCCAAACCAGGTCCACTTGGGCAGTGATAAAAATAGACATATCGTTTCCTTGGCTCAACAGGAAGTGATACCGACATCTCATTATTCCCTTCTCCTATCTTTAGTAACTTTGAGAGATGACCGGCTTGAGGTCCCGCTGCGTTGACCACCACAGTTGCAGCCAGTGATCGCACCTCTGGACCATTTGGCATTGAAATCTATGGTAAAATTTACAAATATTGAAATCTACAGATATAACAATACTTGCATGTATGTATTGACAATGAATTTGATGTTGTCACGGAAACAGTAAGCTGAAAAAAAGAAAATCTAACATCCATCATTACCATAATCTAATTCATGTGGATATCATCAATATATATTTTTAATGATAGCAACAGAATATTCCAAAGCATTATACATGTACATGTACACTCAATCCTAATATTATTACTTTAGATTCACTGTAACTGTCATTAGTGACTACGCCGGTCATTTCACTCCATTCAGGTGTTACCTGTATTACATTATGCATGAACACTTTGCAGAATGAAGATCCAATCCAATCATTTCAATTGGTACAGACAGAATTTCTGCTGGGAATCCAACTTTTAATTAATTATTTCTTAACTATTAACATAATGACTTTCTTTGAAAAAAAAAAGATGAGGGGATTTAAAATCATTCCTTAACCCAAATATTGATGGTGCTGTTTAATACAGTTATAAAACACTCACATACCTTAACATTTTGTATTCTGTTATCATAATATGGATCATATGGCCCATTTTTTGGTATCTTGTCTTTCTTTATTGTGAATCCAGTTACATTACCGTGGACATACTGTACACCAAGTGATTTGGCTTTCTGTTTAAGGGCAGTGAGCAGACACCATGGATCGAACCATCCCTCGTTTGCAGTGCCTTAAGTAAAGATCACAATCAAAGCCTGTGACAAAAATTAGGAACTATGTTTTGTCATAGGCGGAAATATACATGAAAATAATTATAGGAGTTGTGATTAGGCTGTTGCACACAAGTGTGTATTGATATCATGCTAAGCTGAAGTGCTTCAGCATTGAGTTAAAAAAAACAAAAACAGTTTTTAAAAATTGTCAAATGTCTCAGCATTGACTTAACCGAGATGGTTCTATACTCTGATAAAAAAAAGCCAGATTGAGTAATTTTGTTGACCAGTATAGACTGGAGACAACAATATGCTGAATTGTTCAAGTTACTGATATTGAGATATGAACAATTAAGTTATAAAAGCATTGAGATACAAAAATTTTGAGTTACGTGCACCATAAATCCACATTTAGCAACTTGAACTTTAATTTGAACACTAAACTGAACTTAAATTTAGGGCCAACATCAATTTGTTGTTTTGTTTAACGTTTTATGTTTTTCCATAACTCGAAGTTAGAATAACAGTTAATTAAATTTGATCGTTAAACAAAACAACAAATCTATGTTTGGTAAACGGTTAATTAAAGTTTCAGTTACTAAATTTGGACATTCAAACAAAAACAAAAATATGTATTGCCTGTAACCCAAAGTTCTGCTAACTGTTAATTGAACATTGAATTACAATTAAAACATGGATTCTCAAAAGTGGGCGTGGTTTCTAAAATACTAGTATGGGTGTAGTCATTTGTGTAACTCAATGTGTTTGTATCTCAATGTATTGTAATTTGATGTCCGTAACTAGAACAATTCAGCATCTCAGAGACATCTCAGAGACAACATTGCTAGGTTCAAACCTTTGATAAATAAACAAGAAACCTGTCAGTGGGAAAAGCTCAGATGTATTTTTAGAACAAGCTGAAAGAAAGCAGAAACAAAATAAATTACAGTTTTAAGTTTAAAGTCAGAGTTTTAACCAAAAACATACCATAACTTGCCAGTTCTATTCCATCAGTATTTATCCATGGAAATTTTTCTTTGAGCTTTGTGACAGTCAGGAGCTCTACTTTAGCACCAAGCTCCCTAGCAACAAGAATATGTAAAAAGATAAATAATTATGTTATGAAGGATTTTGAAGACTAAAATACTTTATATTTTATATAATCTAGAAATCAAACTCAGCTTTCATCAACTATTTCTCTGCCTACTGCTATATATTATGGTGAACATTGTTGTCTGTAATATGGTTAGTTGAAAGTCAGTGAAATCTCACCTTATATCCGATGTTGACAAGTGTATGATTACTGTATTACAAATCTGATTTACAGGGACAAAGTTTTTATAGTATCCCTAAGTACAGTGAACATCATTTCTGTGGCGTCATTTCGAAAATGACACCTCTCTATTTGCACAGTGGTCATGTGATTAGACGGTTCCATTTTTTGTTGGAATATTTATTTCATATTATTTAAAAATAAGCTTTCTAAAAATATATAACTTGATGGGATTCAAAGAAAATGTTACTTCAGAAATGTGCTATGCAATTGCAATAGCAATAAACAATATCTACTATATCCTTAATCTTAGTTTTATCTCAATTGTGACCATTTGCTACTATATTGTTTTTGTTCAAGCATGAAAGCAGAGAAATATAAAAAGATAATGATGAAGAGAAGTGATAAAATAATAATGACAAATATATTCTGGAATAGTTAGTAAATTGTTCTTATCGTTACACATACCTCTGAATCTCGTAATTTGTTTTCATCTGTCGTACACCTTTTTCAGTCGCTAGAAATAGGTATCCATAGGGATTGAACTGGACATCTGGAGGGTCGGCGTCATCCACCGTCAAATGCTCTTTGATATTACGCAAAAACTCTGCACCATACATGGACAGCTGGATGTTTTCTGGCAGTGAAAATTGTTGCCGAATTCCACCAACTGACAATGATGATGATGCTCTAGTATACTGGAGTAAGTGTAAATGAAATGTTATATTCATATTATGTCTACCATAAATTATGAAGTGAAATATACGTGACGTGAAGTCATTAATATTTATACAGTTAAATTAATAGCTGCTTATTTTTTTACATTTTGATGCTGTATCTGTTTGTATCAATATTACCTAACAATTTATCTGCAAAATATCTGTGACTTTGGAAAACTTGACACTTCATCATCATTTTCAAGAAGCCAATCACGCAATTTCCTCTAGAGTTCATGAAAAAATCCTTGCTTTCAGGCATATGTATCAACACAGCATGGCATTCATTTGTTGTTTTTAAAAACAATCCTCATGTCCATTGAGAATATATATAGCAGTATAAATTAGTAATAAACTATGGTTTAACCAAAGACACTAGAAAAGTCTTATGTCTTTTGTTCAACTGTGTTGAAGTACATCCAATTACATTGTAAATTATCAGTCAGTCTGTCATGCAATTACACATGACAATTTATTTCAGTGGGTTCGGACCTGTTTGTCAAGTACGGTAAAATCTGTATTAAATGCCGCGGCTTCTATTAAAATGGTACAATACAACAGAGGGGATAAGGCTTTTATCAGAGATGCGGCTTCTAATACAGATTTGACGGTAGTCTTTGTGAGAGTTGCTTTAATTAATAACTTTGAAAAACATGTTTGAATATTCTCTAATTATACACAGGATAATTTTTGTTGACAACTTTAAAGTGTAAGACAAGGAATTATTTTACAGAACAATTGTTCACGGACCCATGCTTGTTTTTAAGATTCTCAATAATAGAGATTATTTTAAAAATATTTTTAATCAAACACGTCAATGAGTCTTTTTGTAATTGTGAGACTCAATCAAACATTTTAAAATTCTATTTAAAGAAATATATTGCCTATTTATAAGTACCGGTATATATTTGTATATTTTTATTAGACGCATAAAATCCTTAGGAAAGGATAAAAAGGGTCTTTACAGAAAGAAATTAAAAAAAAAAAAAAAAAAAAACTACAATCTAAAAAATAAAACAAAAAATAAAAACTTTTCTAAAAAAAAAAAAAAAAAAAACAAGTCAAAAACAAAAAAATACAATTTGCAGCCAATGGTGAATACAGAATATAGAATGAACACAAAATGTGGCCTAATACACTGATAGTTG